AATAATAATAATAATAATAATAATAATAATAATAATAATGAATGGCCGAACCAGAATCAAAGTCCGAATCCCACTTCTACTGCCCGGCATCAACAGAGGTCCACCATAGCCATGGACTCCTTCCTCCTCAATCGGGGCGAGGCTATGGCGGACTACTAAGGGCCTAGCCCTGCTGTGCAAAAGACAACGCAAAGCAGCTATGTTCGCTGCTACTCAGGCCGCCATGCCTGACTCTGCCTTGAAGCCTTATTGGTCCGGCACCCCCACTGGGGCCTTCCAGATGCAGCGCCTAACAAGGTGATGAAGATGGCGTCCACCATAGCCAGGTGAGTAACTCGTCGCTCTCCTCCCTAGTCCCCTTCTTCCTCGTCCTCCTAACTGGAGGTGGAAGCTCCCGCCCTTCTTCCTCCTCCCAGCGCTGCTTCTGCCTGCGCTCCGCTTCCTTCAGTGCCCAGACTGCTAGTGCTTGCTCAAGCACCATACCGCAAATGAGGAGGAGCACTTCGCTCCTCCCGAAGATATAGCGGCCTACCTGCCTTTTGGGCGGTGACTTCCAGGCCGCGCGGCCTCCAAGCAACCGGTACCTCCTCCCTTTCGGAGGGAAACATCATTTCAGGCTCTGATATCGTCCACGCAGGCCTTAAACTCAGGCTATTTGGACAGGTACCCGCCTAGACCTAGCCTACCAACTACTGGGCCTCTAAAAATGCCAACTTTTGTCTTCTTCTGCTCGGCCTCCATTCCCCGACACATGTCACCGCTGGTACCGGTCTACCTACTACAGTCTTCACCCGAATACAACGTACGGTCATTATCACTGTATCTGGACGCAAAGTTGCCCCAAATACAGCTATAATGACGGTACGTTGTATTCGGGTGAAGACTGTAGAGTGTTTTTCCCGCTGCTCTAAGTGTCGCGGGCCTACTCCCGGCACCCGAGTGTTTTCCTCACTGCAACCCTCAAAGTCACGGCCACAGCTAAGTCCCGCCCCTGGGGGGCCTCCAAACAAACAACTGCCCTTGCGGGTCACACACACACTCTGACCGACAAGCACTCAGAAAGGCACGCAGACCAGCGAGCATGCACACACACAGACTTCGAAAACTCGGCAGAACGAGGGAATCTCAGTAAGGCATTCATTCCAGTGGCAAAACTCAATAATCTGCAGTGTTCTCAGTCTGTGTTTTGACGGGTCATTACAGAAAAAAACGAAAAAAAACGAGTGTGACTAGCCACTGGAACAACTTAATCTCTCGGGAACTTCTCAGTCTGAATTAATCAGGAAAAAAATATACACGCTGGACCCGGTTCCCAGCAGGCGATGCTCCCCACCAATATATAGCCAGTGATCGGAGCAACCAGTGACAACTGCTAGAAGGGGATGTTCATATCGCCCCCTCTAGCAGCTTGACCCCGGTTTTCAAGAAGGAAAAGAAAAAAAGGAACAGAATATACACCCAGTCTAGGTCTGTCCTGTGGACTCAAACTGCAATCATCACATCAGGCCCCCAAGAACCTTGTGTCAGTCGCGAGCCGAATTTCTGTATGCCTTACCTTTTTCACAAAACCCTGCATCTAACAGCTTCACATGTCAAACGCGAGATTGTCATCGTATCAACATCACAGGCGTAAACACAAACTGATGTAGTGATCACTGGGTAACCGACACCCAAAACCATTCACACACGACCAACAAGGTCAATCAGTACACGGCTCGACTAAGAGTCCCTGCAGTTTTGGAAGTCCTATAACCTACAACCAAACGTTACACTGTTCGACTTGAGAGTCCCTGTAGTTGAATAGTTCGTCTGTATCCTCTGTTGTGCAGATTTGATGCTATCTTCAGCATTGCTCCAATTTAAATGGATGTACCAAAGTGCAATGACTTGCTGGTTTCTGGTCGTCTGTAGCCTCTCTCTTGTGGAGGCTGTACTATCTATAGGTTAGATTCGTTATTTTGTTTGGCTGAGGGCTAACCGAGAGACCTGCCTGTAAGGAAAATTCGTGAGGGACATATCTGTAAATTCGGGAAAATCCAGGTCCGTACTAACTGAATTTCCTACAGCTACCCTAACTGCGAATAGCAGACCCGGGCTACCCCTAGGACAGACAGGCCGTAAGGGCCTAAGCTGATAGACGGTCCTATAGCCTATAGCAGGGTTGGGAGAGGCCCTAGAGGCCGAAACAGAAACGGTACCGGTCGGTCAGTCAGTCCGGTCTAGGTTGTGTGTAGGCTAGAGTTGACTATAGATAGGTTAGGTACAGCGGTTCAGGGCTTTCGGCAGTTGGAACCGAGTGCATCACCGCGGTGCAACGCGTGAACTGGAAGTGGTGACGGCTCAGCGTTGTGGGAGACGGACATAGCCAGACCTTTGGAGCGGCGGCCATAGCTGGGACCTGCGCTGCACTCTGCCAGCATGCGGGGCTGTACAGAGGTGTGGGCTATACGAGGTCTGCTGGAGGCGAGAGAAGTGGTGCCCTGCTGGACCCTCCTCCGGAGTAGGGTTACAGGGTTGTGGCGCTGCAGCCATAGCTGCAGCTTCTTCCTCAGAGGTCATCTTGTCAGGAGTGGTGGCGCTGCTGCAGACTTCCACCCGGGAAGTGTTCCGACACTTCGTCATCATCAGATACTGTGGCTCTGGTCTTCTTCTTCATCCTCTGAGTGGCGCTTGGCCTCAGAGGCCTGTTTCTGGGTGGCGCTGCCCTCTGAAGGCAGTAACTGGGTGGCGCTGCCCTCTGAAGGCAGTAACTGGGTGGCGCTTGATGTTTCAGGGACTCAGGGGTGTTACAAGTGGTTACTCAGGGTTGGGGAGTGAAGCGCTGCTCATTTCTGAGCAGTGCACTGTAGTTCTGGGTTTATTCTGACAATTTGAGACTCTGAGTTTAATAATCAGTGTGATACTGGGTTTGGACTATCATCGTTTCATGGTTTTCCTGGATGTGATCTACTCGGCTTTCCTTTATGACTGGTTGTGAGGATTGAGTGGAGTGAATTGCACTTTCAGTGTACCTTGTCATATCGCATGGTCAAGTCTTCTGCTGTGTTCATCTCTCCCTGTGCGCTGTGATACTGCTATCCTCTCCCCTTCCTTCTGTGTATGTATGGGCATACCTGGAAGTCTATGTGAGCGAGTGTTGGTCTTCAGACAACAGACAACCAAAATCATAACAAAGGATTTATGTTCAGTTTTCATTGCATCTTTAACGTTTGCGAGGAATGAGCCCTCACGGGGCCCCTATCAGACATACAGAGGCCCCCAGCAAGCCGAGTGCCCGCCCTAAGTGAAGGCGGGCCTGAGTATTCATCAGAGGCCAAAATTTGACATTTTCATATATGGGTATTCAGGCTGTTGCAGCCCGCCAATTGGTTGAGTGGACGCGCGAGCCTCACTAAGCTGCGTCGTACAGTTTGCCCAGGCCTGTGCAGTTGTGCCTGGCACATACACACAAAGCAGGGCCGAGACATCATGAAGTGGCCACCGGCCTATGCAAAAGCAGTACTGTCGACACACCTACCCCGGGGTCCTGCACAAATGCAGCGAACGGCTAAAGTCTGCAGACCCAGGCCGTGCCCAACTGTAAAGGGCCCAGGCCCTCAACTGTAGTCTCGGGCCTGGGCGCAGGAACTGAGGCCCAACCGGAAGCTACTGGAAGCTTCCAGCCAGGCCACACACAGCATCCAGGAGGCTGCCACTTCCATATAGGAGATGAGGCGGCCCAGGCCAGGCATTCTGGCCCACGCAGGCAATGCGGTCACGCTGCTGCGCTGCAGCCAGTGCGCTTGCGGGGCGCTTTGAGGTGAAGTGGGGCACTGCAGGGCAGCGGTGCGCTGGCAGCCATAGCCGGGCTGCAGGGCGCTAGGGGGTAAGAGGGGGCGATCTGGTGGTCTTCAAGGAGGGAGGTGAGTGTGTGGGTTATCAAGGTCTGATGAGGGGGACGAAATACGTACCTGGTGCATGAAGAGAGGTCGGCTATGGTGTTGACATCATGTACATCGGTCTTCGAGTGTCGAAGTGAGCCTGTTGCCTGAAGACAGCTGTAGGTAGGATAGTCGAGTAGAGTAGGCTAGGCACTGGGCGCCAGACAGAGAGGAGCGACTTTGGATACTGTGTTGGTGTGGCCTGAGGGCTTCAATATTGGCTCATTACTTCATTGTATTGCTCTATTTGGACGGATTCTCGGTGCGATTGTGCTCTCTGCTTGTGCACGACTACTTCTGTGTGATTTCGCAACTTGGTTTTCTGTATATCGTTCACACTCATATTTCTTGCACGTTTTGCGATGTGTTACACTTTTGTTCTCTGAAAGGCACGTAGTTCATGTGGAAAGGAGACTCTTGTGTTGGTCAGATGTTGTTGCGGTAGAGTCGTAGACCCTTCAACAACGTTTTGTAGGCGTGCATAAATGCTTGGCTCTGTGTGTGTGTGTGTGTGTGTGTGTGTGTGTGTGTGTGTGTGTGTGTGTGTGTGTATGTGTTTTGGTGTGTGTGTGCGTTTGCGTGTGCGTGTGTGTGTGTGTGTATGTGTGTGTTGTCATGTTGTCGTGTTCGCTGTACACAACTCCACAAAAAAAGCACGACTGTGCCAGACTTTCATCAGACTTTCACCAACTCGGTAGGAGGTTGAACCCCAACAATCTGCCCAGGACGCATTTGACTGACGGATAAGGACTCACCATGTCGCCCAGAGTTAGCTATGTGTGTGTGTGTGTGTGTGTGTGTGTGTGAGAGAGAGAGAGAGAGAGAGAGAGAGAGAGAGAGAGAGAGAGAGAGAGAGAGAGAGAGAGA